GGAACTGATGCCCAGGTCTGTCAGTTTCCTGATGAGTTGTGAGGGGTGGATTGTATTGAATGCTGAACTGAAGTCTATAAACAGCATTCTGGCGTAGGTGTTGTTGTTGTCCAGGTGTGAGAGGACAGAGTGCAGTGCGATGGAGACTGCATCCTCTGTGCTCCTGTTCTGGCGGTATGCGAATTGGTGGGGGTCCAGGGTGGGGGGGAGACAGGATTTGAAGTGTGCTAGGACCAGCTGCTCTAAGCACTTAGTGATGATGGGGGTGAGTGCTACTGGGCGGTAATCATTGAGGCAAGATGGGTTGGAGTTTTTGGGTATCGGGACGATGGAGGTGGATTTGATGCAGGCCAGTACCACAGCGTGGGCCAAGGACAGATTGAATATGTCTGTGAGCACTCCTGCAAGCTCCCCAGAACACGCTCTGAGAACACGCCCGGGGATGCCATCAGGGCCTGCAGCCTTGTGGACATTGATCCTGCTCAGCACCGCTCCTACATCGGTGGGGGAGAGAGTCATAGGTTGGTGGTCTGGCGTCATGTCTGCTTTGGTTGTGGTTGTGGGGTTCCCTCGCTCAAAACGAGCATAAAAGTTGTTGAGCTCGTTGAGGAAGGAGACATCAGAGGATGCGGGGGAGGGTTTGGTGGTCCTGTAGTCTGTGATGGTCTGGAGTCCTTGCCACATGCGTCGGGGGTTGGAGTTGGAGAAGTGTTCTTCTACCTTCTTTTTGTAATGATGTTTGGCTTTTTTGATGCCCTTCTTTAGATTATATAAGTTTTAAATAAGTTTTGCTGGAAAACTGAATATGGAACAAGCAAAGCTTAATACAAAACAATATATATATTAGCTGTATAATACCAGTAGGCCAGCTCTAATAGTAATTTGGTATGGCTTCGCGGGCCAAATGTAATTAGGCTGGCCCGCGGGCCAGAGTTTGACACCTATGGTACAGGGCATTGAAGATGATAACAGTGGGTGGATTATGTTCTTAAACTTAGTTACAGCGCTTTCAGAAAGACATCTACTGTGATAAAGTCTACTCTCCACTGCTGTGTAATCAATTATTGTAAATGTAAATGTTATCAGGAAATGATCAGACAGGAGAGGGTTTTCAGGAAACACTGTTAAATGTTCAGTTTCTATGCCATATGTTAAAACAAGATCTAGAGTGTGATTAAAGTGGTGGGTGGGTTCTTTTACAGTTTGCATTGTAGATTCTCACTGAAGGCATCAAAACTATGAATGAACACACGTGGAAGTATGTAGTAAACACAAAAGTGTGAAACAACTCAAAACATGTTTGATATTTTACATTCTTCTGCTTTGACTCCTGCTTCGCTCACTCTTGGCCTTCTCTCCATGAGCTTCATGAGGTCGTCTCCTGAAATGGTTTCCAACAGTCTTGAAGGAGTTCAGAGATGCTGAGCGTTTGTTGGTCCTTTTGCCTTCACTCTGCGCTCCATCTCATCCCAAACCAGCTCCACTGGGTTCAGGTCAGGTGGCTGTGGAGGCCAGGCCTCCATCACTCTCCTTCTTGGTCACAGAGGCCTCACACAGCCTGGAGGTGTGTTTGGGGTCCTTGTGCTGTTGGAAAATAAATGATGGGATGGCATGTGGCTGCAGGATGCTGTGGTGGCCATGCTGGTTCAGTGTGCCTTCAGTTTGGAATAAATCACCAACTGTGAAACCAGCAAAGCCCCCCCACACCATCACGCCTCCTCCTCCATGCTTCACGGTGGGAACCATGCATGTAGAGACCATCGTTCACCTTTTCTGCACAAAGACACGGCAGGTGGAGCCAAAGATCTCAGATCTGGACCCATCAGACCAAAGCACAGATGGTCTAATGTCCACTCCTTGTGTTTCTTAGTCCAAACATCTCTTCTTGTTGCTTTTCCTCAGTCGTGGTTTCTCAGCAGCTGTTTGACCGTAAAGGCCTGATTCACACAGTCTGCTCTGAACATGCAGAGATGTGTGTGCTACTGGAGCTCTGTGCAGCATCTATCTGGGCTCTGATCTGAGCTGCTGTTAACGATTTCTGAGGCTCAGCAGCAGAGGGACTCTCGCACTTCCTTTCCTGGGCGTCCTCATGTGAGCCAGTTTCATCGCAGTGCTTGATGCGACTGCACTTGGGGACACATTCAACGTTTTAGCAATTTTCTGACTGACTGACCTTCAGTTCTTAAAGTAATGATGGGCTGTTGTTTCCCTTTATTCAGCTGTTTGCTATAATATGAACTCTAACAGAGCCCAGGTTTATCCCCACCTGGGTCTGTCAGACCATCTCTCCCTTCTGCTACACCCAATATACACACAAAAGATCAAGAGCACTGGGATTACAACCAAAACCGTGAGAACATGGCCGCAGGATGCTATTCCGATGCTTCAGGACTGTTTCCACTGCACAGACTGGGATGTATTCAAGGTGCAGGACACTGACAATTGTGTCGCATTGGACAGTTACACCTCCACTGTCTTGGACTACATCTGTTTCTGTGTGGACAATGTAACAACTTGGAAACGATTCCGTGTGTTCCCTAATAATCCACCCTGGATGACACACGGAGTTCAACAACTTATTCGAACAAGGAACAACGCTTTCAAATCCGGGGACCAGGAGGCATACAGTGCTGCCAGGGCCAACCTGAGAAGAGGCATCAAGACTGCCAAGCAGCAGCACAGGAGGCGTATCGAGGCCAGGTTTGAGAACAACACAAACCCAAGGCAGGTCTGGGAGGGCATCAGGGCTATCACGGACTACAAAAGAAGAACACCATCACCCTCAGCCGACAGTTCTACTCTGGCTGAGGATCTAAATCTCTTTTATGCCCGTTTTGACAGGGAGAACACCGACCCTGTCCTGTCCCCTCTCCCCTCAACCGACCCTGCTCCGGTCCTGAGCACTCATGAGCTGAGGCGTGTGTTCCGGAGCATTAACACCAGGAAGGCGGCCGGGCCGGATGGAGTGCTGGGCCGGGTGCTAAAAGACTGTGCTGCGGACCTGGCGGACGTCTTCACCTCTATATATAACACCTCGTTGTCCTGTTCACTGGTACCATCCTGTTTCAAAGCAGCAACCATCGTTCCCATCCCAAAACAGTCAAATGTCACATGTCTGAACGATTTCAGACCTGTGGCACTCACCCCCATTCCCGCCAAATGCCTGGAGAGACTGGTCATTAAACACATCAGAGCTGCTTTTCCACCATCCCTGGACTCGCACCAGTTTGCATACAGGGAGAACCGGTCAACCGAGGATGCGATCGCCACAGTGCTGCACACATTACTGAAGCACTTGGAACACAGGAACACCTATGCACGGCTCCTCTTTGTAGACTACAGCTCGGCTTTTAATACCATCCGGCCATACAAACTCCGTCCCAAACTCCACCAACTGGGACTTAACTCCTCTCTGTGCAACTGGATTGTGGACTTCCTCACTAACTGTAGACAGAGTGTCAGAGTGGGTAAGAACACCTCTTCCACCCTTGTGGTCAACACCGGTGCCCCTCAGGGGTGTGTTCTGAGCCCTCTGCTATACAGTCATGGGTGAAGAGAGTGTATTTCCTCCTGCGCGTCCAATCTCATTGTTAAGTTTGCAGATGACACTACAGTGCTCGGACTTATATCCAACAATGATGAGACAAACTATAGGACAGAGGTGCAACAACTAGAGTCATGGTGCCACGACAATAACTTGGTCTTAAACACCAAAAAGACCAAGGAGATCATTGTAGATTTCCGGAAGAGGGGTCATAACAACCATCTGCCTCTCTTCATTGGCAGTGAGGCGGTGGAGAGGGTGAGCAGTTTTAAATTCTTGGGGGTAACTGTGACCGAGGACCTGTCCTGGGGCAACCATATCACCTCAGTTGCACGGAAGGCCCAACAGCGCCTCTACTACCTGAGGAGACTGCGGAGCGCACACATTCCCAGATCTCTGATGTTGAACTTCTACAACTGTGCCATCAGCAGCGTTCTGACGTATGGATTTCTAGTGTGGTTCCCCAGCTGCACCAAGGCCGATCAGCAAGCACTCCAGCGGGTGGTGAAAGAAGCTGGCAGAATTATTGGAACAAGTCTGCCAGAGATCAGTAATATCTTCCCCACTCGCTGTCTGAGGAGGGTGCACAGTATCCTGCGGGACCAACATCACCCTGCGCGCCACCTTTTCCATCTGCTGCCCTCAGGGAGAAGGTACAGGTCTATACAGGCCAGAACATCCAGACTGGCCAACAGCCTGTATCCACAGGCTGTGAGGCTCCTGAACTCTCTGCCCCCTCTCACGGACAATAACCATATCCAACTTCTTAATAGCAATGAACTGGTCTGCATTGGTGCATCATATCTTTATTCTCTTCCCCCTCCTGCCCCCCCCCCCCTCTTTCTTAAATAGATAACTATCATATCTGATATCATATCTCACAGTACAATAATATTGAATGGGTTGCATTGTTGTATTTTGTCATGTTTCTCAGGTCTTTGTCTGAATTTCTACGAACATTATTGCTAAGGATTGTCTTATTGCATTGGAGTCACACTGGGTTAAATATGTACACTTGGGTTTTAAGGGGTATTTATTATTTTCTTCTTTTTTTGGGTTGTATGGAAGCCCCAAACGCAATTTCATTGTTCTTGACAATGACAATAAATAAATACTACTAACAGTTGCCAAACGAGGCTGTCAGCTGTGCACCAACCTGATGGTCCCAACACCATTAATACATAACTCCATATATCTTCATATATTTGATGTCTTCAGTTTGTATCTACAATGTAGAAAGTAGTAACAATAAAGAAAAACCATCAGATGAGGTGTATGCAAACCTTTGGCTGGTGGTGTACTTTAGTCACTGAGAGGCAGCAGGTGGTGGATGTGCGTTTGCAAACCTGTATGTTGCTCCAGTTCAGGACCAACACACTAACACGGGGACAGTGAACACTGTCACACTGTTTCTATTAACCGAAAGCTCTTTGTGTTTTATTTCTATTCATTTCAGATGGCTCGATGTGAGTGTGTCCAACCTCACATGTACCAGGTACTGGGTGGTGTACCTGCAGGTCATCCAGGAGGCTGTGTGGCCCGGTGGAGCTTTGCCAACTGCCCCGGTGTTTGAACGCAGCCAGCAGCAAAAGGATGACACCAAACAACAAGCTTTACGCTGTCTGATGAGACTCGTACCAGGTACGTCTCACGCTCGTTATGGCGCGATCCTTGAATCGGCGTCGTTCCTGTTACAGTATTTGCTCTTATTCAGTCAGTTTGAGTTGTTTTTACATCTCAATCTTTTTTCTGTGTCTAGATCTGGTCTCAGATGTGTTGGGCTCAGAGAAGTACAGACTCAGCTGGCAGACTGCTCTGGACTCTTTTCAGGACCCCCACATCAACAGGTCAATATACCCACTTTGTAGCGAGCCTGTCTGCCGTCAGACGCACCTCTTCTTCTCAGAAAGGATTCATCATAAAATTATACAAAATATGGTTCTTACATCAGATTCTGCTTCCTGTTGTCATGCTCAGTTTTTATTTGATTTCCTTCATTAATAAACAAAATGATCTATTTTCTGTGGGACGCCATATGAACGGTAGAATCAGCACAACCTGTAACAGCTCCCTTTTAGCTTTTTGTCTTTTTGTGTGCATTCGAGCGTCCACAGTTTTCAAGATATAACTTTTGTCTGAAGATGTCAGTAACAGCTCGAGGTGATTTAGACTGCAGAGTGGAGTAAAAAAGAGTTTGGCCCGTTCCTGATTTTAGATTTCCACAGCGCTGTGAAATGTGCATTCCAGTTATCACAATCGCGCGATTGCAGTTGTTGCTGAGTGACCCAACCAGGGAATCACTTCTTGTCTTCGGCTTCACAGCATTATACTCGGCCTTGGAGGGCATGGTCAGCTAAGTGTTTGAGCTTCACTCTTACTCCACAAGGTTAAAGTTGATATTGAAAAGTAAACATATCCAGTATAAAATATCATGAAAGGTTGTGGAGAGATCAGTACAATACTACAATACCTTTTTTTTTTTAATGCAGTGCCGTACGATGTCTCAATGCTGCCATAAAGTTTTGTCAAATCACAAACTGCATATGTTCAAATCACACGTTTTTACAGCGTGTCGAAGCCAAAGACTTCATCCAGTTTTGTTTCATTCTGGTTAATCGTCAGCATGTTGTGATAAAGACGTCATAAGTTTCAGTATAGCCCTCGCCCTTCAGGGCCAGTTCCAGTTTCCAACAATGGCGGCAGCTACTTAGTCTTAATATTACTCTTGTTTATGTTTCTGGGCCAAAAATAAACTTTTAAGATATTTTCAGGTGAGAATGTAGCTGTGCAAACTTTGAATATCTGCTTAGTTTATCAACACATCACGTTTGCAAAGTGCTCGGACGTTTTCATAGACGTCTGGTACCCACCAGCTCTATAGCCGACCGGGAGGTCAAGGGTCACTAGAGCTGATGAGAACAGCGAACATTCTGCACATCATTTTCTGACCCCTTGTGTTCTTTGGCTACTCAGGTTAAACATGATATATGAGTCACTCAGATAACTTAAAAATGTTGTTGTTTGGCTTTTTCAGTGTTTTATTTGTTCCTGGGTAAATCGGTTTGGCTGAGGTTAAAGTTTTCACACAGCTGAATAAACGTCAGCAGACAGCTGATCATCAGAAGTGTGAGACGGTCGAGAGTTTACTCCAGTGTCCTGTTATATTTTAGATAGCAAGGAGTTTATTAAAAGTTAATAAACTATCATCTGTTTTTATTTTTAGTGAGCAGCTTAAACACTTCCAGCTGTAAGCTAATGATAGTTATATAAGAGCAGATGCTGCTGGTGCAGTCAGCTGGACGTTTTACGTCCAATGGATGATGATCTGATTAGTCGACTATCAAAATAATAATTTGTGGCAGCCGTAGTGTGTACTGTTTCTAACAAAGCCACATCTCCACACTGACTCTTCTTTTATATGTCACCAAACCAACTGGCATATCTGTAAATGAAGATGATATAACCGTGACTGGGTTAGCTTTACTCACTGCAGGTGGTAACTAGCTGCTCTTGCCCCCTTCCAGATCATTTATTGTTCCACAGTCAGAACAGCGACCTTCCAGTTTCGGTGTGGAATCAGTGGACCTTTAAATTGAAAGCTGCTATCTTTATGCTGTTTATGAGCCTGCAGGGAGCGGTCTCATAAACAGCAGTCATACTGGAAGGTATCTGGACATGTCGAGGAAATCATCCAAATTTAAATCAGGTGTATTGTTTTATTGTTATGGGAAGACCCCTGGGACTTTTATCCACATGTCTCATATTATTAACTTCTGCTGCTTGCAGACATTTGAGACTTTGCTGTAATTTGATTCACTTCCACTCGTGCCCGTTAGTGTTGCCGTTTAGTTAAGTAAAAATAGAAATGGACAAACAGTAAGTGTGACATACTAGTTAACACTTATTTAGTCTTTAGCAAACTAGCAGCATGAGATTGAGGTGTGATGACCTTACACAATATGTTCAGATGGATTACCAGGAAACGTTAAAACCTTCCCTTCCTTCAGCTCCCAGCAGGTTTGACAGTAGATGTGTGTCAGTGCTGTAGCAGACATTTCTCTAGCTCTGACCAAAAACCTCATAAACTGACATTTTATCCCGCTTCTCTTGTAGCTCCTGGCATTCTGACACTTCAAGCTGAGATGATGTACTTTGTAAATATGTAGTGTGCTAAATGTGGCTATGCTAGCATTGTTATGATAGGATGCTTATGATAACATTCATCTCAAAGCACCGCTGTGTCAGAGTAAGTCAGGGCGGTGATAGATACTCATTTTTATTTTTGAAAAGCCAGTCACCAAAAGTGTGTTTCCACAAACTGGCTGCAATTCTTTGCTTTGTTTGTTTGGTAAAGAAAAGTAAATTCATAATTAGATTCAATCGTTTTTGGGCTTTTCTGCTGCTGATAAAGTCCAGAGAGATTTTGAATCGGAGAGAAGAAGAAAATTCCAGTAATACCCAAAACTAATCTGACAAAATCAAAGCATTTTCTTTTCTTTTTAAAAGTGTATTATTGTTTACTTATATTTTTCCAGCAGTAAGAGTCTATAAACCCTAATAAGCTCACACGCACCTCCACACAACCTGGTGGGAAGGAGGCGTCGACACTGTAAGAGCAGGCTTCAGCCGGCCTGCTGCCTGGTGTTGGCACGTACTGGCCGTCACACAGACCTGGCAGAGAAGAGGAACAGCAGACTAAGACAGCCATGATGTAATCTGGTCCATAAGTTTTTATAAACAGCAGAAAGAAAGAGAGCAGCTGACAACAGAAAGCTCCTGATTCTGTCGAGTACTTGGTGCGCTCTGATGGACACGCCAGAGACAAACAGGTGTATCTGATCAGGTGGGCAGTGAGTGTACGTGCTCAGGTGCACAGACACAGAGGCAGGCTCACCTGGAACGATGCAGTACAGTAAACTGTAGGTCGAAGAGGGTGTAACAAACAAACAGTGCAAAGAAGCAGCCGCGTCCACATCATGTGATGTTTTTACCTCTTCAAAGGAGGGAAAACCTTCTGTAGCTATTCTGTGTGTGTGTGTGTGTGTGTGTGTGTGTGTGTGTGTGTGCGTGTCTGTGTGCGTGTGTCTGTGTGTGTATGTGTGCGTGTCTGTGTGTGTGTCTGTGTGCGTGTCTGTGTGTGTGTGTCTGTGTGTGCGTGTCTGTGTGTGCGTGCGTGTGTGTGTGTGTGTGCGTGTCTGTGTGTGCGTGCGTGTGTGTGTGTGTGTGCGTGTGTCTGTGTGTGTGTGTGTGTGTGTGTGCGTGTGTGTGTGTGTGTGTGTGTGTGTGTGTGTGTGTCTGTGTGCGTGTGTCTGTGTGCGTGTGTCTGTGTGCGTGTGTGTGTGTGTGCGTGTCTGTGTGCGTGTGTGTGTGTGTGTGTGCGTGTGTCTGTGTGTCTGTGCGTGTGTCTGTGCGTGTGTCTGTGTGCGTGTGTGTGTGTGTGTGTGTGTGTGTGTCTGTGTGTGTGTGTGCGTGCGTGTGTGTGTGTGTGTGTGTGTGCGTGTGTCTGTGTGTGTGTGTGTGCGTGTGTCTGTGTGTCTGTGCGTGTGTCTGTGTGTGTGTCTGTGCGTGTGTCTGTGCGCGTGTCTGTGTGCGTGTGTCTGTGTTCGTGTGTGTGTGTCTGTGTGTGCGTGTGTGTGTGTGTGTGTGTGTGTGTTTGTGTGTGTGTGTGTGTGTGTGTGTGCGTGTGTGTCTGTGTGTGTGTGTCTGTGTCTGTGTGCGTGTGTCTGTGTCTGTGTGTCTGCCGTCACTTGAGCGTACGATGTGTGCAGGAGCACTTTAACTCTTCCAGAGATGACGTGACAGCAACTCTAACAGGCGTCTGAGGGGGAACAGTGAAATACAGTCAGTCCAAGCTTCCCTCTGGATGAATGGTTACAGTCTGAATCTCGATGTGGACTTTGAACTTGTCCCGCTGTGCCCAGCAGCTCTGCTTTGCTTCCTCATCTGTTTATTGTTGTTTATTTCTGTGGTGCATTCACATAATTCTTTAATTATCTGCATCCAGCTGTTTGCTATCATTTCCAAACATTGTGCCACAGGTTGATTGGAACTGGCACCGCACCTGCAGGGTTTTGGGTAAAGGGCGCTCTGTTAAAGAAAAGTTTCAGTCAGGCTGCTCGTGGATTGGGCTGAACCACAAGTGAAGACGTGTCCACCACAGTGTGTTAACACGAGGTGGTAGACCACTGCAAGGAGTTAGTTGTGTGAGGAAAACAATGAAAATGTGGCGTGCTTTTTTTTTTAAGGTATGTTAAGATTGCACAAACTATACTGAAAACCCATCACTACTGTGTTGAGCTGCTTTCACAAATGTACTAATGTAACCTATTCTAGCCATAGCCGTCGTTCTCCATCCATTATCTTAACTATATCCTATCATGGCTGTCACTGGGAAAGAGGCTGGAGGACACCTCAGACAGGCCGTCTGTTCAACGGTAGGGCTAAGACTAGACTTGTAGTCAAGACCGCCTAATCCGAGACCAAGACAAGACCAAGACCAAGTCGAAACGAGACCAAGACCGGTCTTGAGACATCCAACTCTAGCTAAGACGGAGGCAGCACATCATGCCACCATCTAAAGAAACTGCTAACAAACCAAGTAATTAATCTCCATCTGTCTGCAAAGGGTTGCAAAGTCATTCCTAAGGCTTTGGGACTCCATCCAACTACAGGGCCGTTATCCACAAATACAGAAAACTCGGAGCTTTCGCAGGAGTGGCTGGACTACCACAATGACTCCCAAGAGCACACATTGGGGTGGCTGTAGCTCAGGTGGTAGAGCACGTCAGCTACTAACCGGACGGTTGGCAGTTCGATCCTAAATATCCTTGGGCACGATACTAACCCCATATTGCGCTCCGATGCGTCCATCGGATGAATGTGTATGAAGTAAGCACAGTTAGAAAAGAGTGAAGCTTGGGTGAATGAATTAGTTGTATAAAGCGCTCTGAGTGCTATAGCTATATAAGAACCAGTCCATTTACCATTTATATGACTCATCCAGGAGCTCACAAAAGAATCCAGAAGTAAATCTAAAGGACTGCAAGCCCTGCATATCTGTCTCAGACTGGGCCAGAAAAAGGAGAAAAAAGCCAGAAAGCACCTCGGTGACCTTGAACGTGACGAGACAAATGTTGAATAATTAAACCAACACTGACGCTCCAGTGCATTTGGGCGGTGATGCACACAGGTGTGCAGCTGAAGTGAAGTTAACTGATGACAACACTGTTACCAAAAGTGCAACACAAAGTTACAGAAGCATCATTATTAAGTTTTCTTACTCGTGCCACCTCATTTTCACCACGGTGTGCAGTTAGGTATGAAACGGTTGCAAACACTGACCCTGGGACGTGTTCCTGCTTTTAGACAGATATCCTGTTGATGCTTCCCTAACAGAGCTGTGATGAATCAGGATGTATCAGCGAATGTTGCTGTTTTGAACTGGAGAATGGGTTAGCTGTCACACAGTGACGTATGCTAAATGCTATAACAAGCTCAGATGCTGTATCCTAACACACTCACCAAACAGCTGTCTAAATGAGTGTGTTAGTAAAGAGCAGCGTCTAATCACACAATACTAACACTCTAACAGGTTGGTGACGCAGGCTGTTTCATGTCATGTTGGTGCTGTGTTCCCTCAGACACCTGGTGTACTGCATATTTGATCTGCTGCTGGAGTTCCTGGTTCCTGAAATACCTGAAGAAAACTTCCAAAGAAGCCTGCTGCAAACGCTCTGCAAGAACCCAGAGAAGCTACTGGCCTGAGGAGACGCATGTAAACCCACCTTCCATCATCTTAGCTCGTCTCATCTACAACTCCCAGCAGTGTGAGGCTGATATCATGTTCTGCACTGAGAGTGAGGGGCTGATTTTGGTCACCCTGACTCCGGTCCACTGAGATCTGTGTCTAATTATGTGTTGATGTAGTGACATACGATACGATGTTCTTGAACATGGTGTCCTGGACACACACTACATTTGAAACAGATGTGATTACATGAGAGCACCTGGTGTGTGTTTGATCTCACGGTGCACTGTTCAGATCTAAAGATGTGGTAAAGCCTCCTGCGATATCCACTTCCAGCCTCTTCCTGTCTGCTAAACACCCCAGATTTCATTAAACTCCCTTCAGATGGTCTTCACACCCTGCCCTTGTTCCCCTCCACGGTCTTTTGGTAGAAAAGCTTAAGAAGCAGGATTGCTTCGTCCTTTTCCACTTGAGTCTCACAGCGCTCTCAGAGTCGCTGTATCAGCTCGTTTCTGACTCATCCTTCAGTATCGCTCCGGATCTGTGCAGAGCCACACATGTGATTGTTACGTTACACATCTGGATACAATCTAACCTCTGAGTGAGGTGAAGGGTTGGACAGATGATGTTTTACGTCACAGTCCTTTAACAGTCGATGCCTGCATAACATAAGAGGAGTCGGCACAAAGACGGAAGGAAGAAATGAAGGATGTAGGAAGTGTCTTGGCCTAGATCCATTTTAATGTCTTGCTTCAGTCTTTGCTTAATTGCAGAGCTTGAATTACTAATTAACCAGTTTTCCTAAAGAGTTGATACAATATTTCATTACTCACCTTTTCCTTTGATCTACGTACGCTGATGACTGATGAGTTACCGCTGCACTGAGGCAACAGGTCTGCACTTGTTCCCAGCCTGTCAGCATAAACAGAACAAGCTGTTTGCTGGGTCCATCGTACTGCTGACAGTTGATTTTCCAAAAGCAGAAGGTCAGTAAACACTGACTGCTGTGTATTTAAGGTCATTCATTCTCTGGATGAGGATGTGCCAGCTGGTAGATCCCGTCTTTATGTGTAGGGTGTCCAACGTTGCTACACAGGGTTGAGGGTTGTCCAAAGTTTAATGTCACCTCGGTGTCTGGTGAGCATCCTCGCTGTGACTCCTTTATGTACCGTCACACTGAGCTATTTCACAAACTGTGCACACGTAGGTTTCCTTCTTTGTAACGACAAACTCTTCAGCTGTGATCAGCCAGCAGGTGTACGCTCCTCAGGTTGGCTTTAAAGACGTAAATGGTGTTTTGCTTTGTTCATCCTGATCACAACTTAAAACGTAATAAGTGTGCAGTGTCCTGTTTTTGTAGTAAGTTGTGTCTGGTTTCAAAACGTCTACATCCACCAAAACTGCAGTCTGAGCAGGTTTAAAGTGTAGATACAGTTCATTATACTCCCTGGAGGTGTAACCGTGTTTAGCAATGTTCATCAAATAACCTGCAGCAGCTCATCGTGCCTCTCACATCAGCTGGTTTCCATCCATAGTGACACAAGTTCTTTGAGAAGATCAGTGAATAAATGCTGTTTACTGCCATCATCTGTCACACAGATGATGGACCTGTGGAGGTTTCCTGTGCTGTCTGACTGCAGGTCCAAGTTCTCCAGGCTGTGCTGTCAGAAGCAAGTGATGACACAGCTGATTGCACCTCTCAAAGCTCAAACAGAAAGTTGCAGCTCGGTCATCGTCCACACAGATGCAGCTAGTTTCGTCTGTCGTGGAACAAAAGTGATTCTTTGCACTTTGCTGTGTTTTCTGTGGAATGGGGCTGAATCAGTTACAGCGACTAAAAACCAAACTGATCAACGGCAACAGGAAACCCAACTAATGTTGTGCAGCTCCCCTCCCACCACCGGAACAGCTGTGACTCATCAGGGATGTGGGAACTGGACCCGTGGGGGTTTCCTGTGGTGCCTGTGTGCAGGTATTTGGTGCTGTGGGTGCAGATGTTCAGTCAGATCTGTGAAAGGTTGGAAGCTCGGCTCCGTGTTTAGTGTTGTCCTGCTGACAGTGCTTTTGCCATTATAGATTAGCTGCTCTACATAATACCCATATGGATGCTGGGAGCCTACAGAACAGCGCACTGTACAAACATCATCAGTTTATAGACTTCAGCAAGTTTCATTTTTAATTTTCAGGGACTTTCTATTGTGCACTCTGAAAATGTTCATAAAGACGCTTCTTGAGCTAGTATATATGACCATGAAGTGATGCTGGTAACCCTCCCCTGAGAGCTGCAGCACATGGTCTGCAGTCACTTTGAGCGTATTGTTGAACGTTCTGGCGCCTTTAACGGGCAGCCTTAGCGTCTCACGATCACATAGAAAATGTTAGAGTTTCTCAGCGCGTCCTTATGAGCAATGTTACGGCGCTTCATTTGTTATTAGCGTCCCGTCTTATGTTGAGCACATCAAATGTGACTGAATCTGCACATTCGCCCTGTTACAAACTGAGATGTTGTGTTTTGCACTCATGTCCTTGTATCAGTCTTGTCTTAACTTCCTGTCTTTCCTTTCTATGATATTAGTGTGTCACTATTATTTATCTGTGCCCATAAAATCGAGACAGATGTGCCAGCGACGGAGACGACAGGCCTCTGCTCTCAAGTGCTTTTATGTCTCTGTGCTGCCTTACAGTGTGACTGCAGTGGACCCGTGCCTCAGCACAGCCCCCCGTGCTGAAACACTTTACAGTGTCAGACTCTGACTGCTGTGAAGGATGGACAGCATATTATCTTCCTGCTGTTGCTGCAACCGTGACAAAACTGATCAGCGTAATTACAGACTCTTCTTTCTCGTTGTATATGCTTTATCATGTTTTATTATGATTTTACTAAACCAATATGTCCAATCAAAACAAGCTCAAATAACATTAGATGTTAGCATGTTAGCCATTTGTAGGTAGTTAGCAGCTATTAGTGGTGTAACGTTTACAGCAGCTGGTCCAGCGCAAGAAAAGCGTTTCTCTAAGAATGAAGACGTGCTGTTCTACGTGGCAGTGATGGTAGAATATCTGACATTAAACTGAGTACATGTGCAGAGACGTCCTGATGTCTGCCAGCTACAGTGTTCCTCTAACCCCTGTAAGCTCTCAGCCATTCACAGAAAGCATTCTCTCAAAGCTTACTGCCAGTTTTCTCAAACAAATGACTACACGCTGTGGGCTTTACAGACATGATGGTAAATGAGACATTTTTCCCAATAATGAAAGGGTTAGGAAACAGGAAGGTCCTAATATGGTCATCTGTGAGCACAGCAGCCAAATTCCCTGCTTCAGTTCCTGAGGGAAGGTCGGTTTGAAAGGTTTGTTTCATGCAGATGATCTGTGCTGTACCGAGGCCCAGTATGAGCTAAATATGGCTTATTTTAAACTGTGAATCATGCAAAGCTACGCTAATGGAGTCTGAGAAATACAACATGAAGCTGGAAACAAATAGGCCTGCTTTACTCAGTAGTAGATGTGAGACATCATCTTTGTATTGCGTTAATGCCAACATATACAGCAAAGAGCCACATTTTTGAAAACCGCAGACACTAATGCGTTATGTTCACCTGTGTGACTGCTCGGTTCCCCTCCTCGCTGTTTGTTGCCCGTCTGCACCAAAACTTGTGACCGTGTGCTTGTGCTGTCTTTGTAAACCTTCACATTTAAAACAACAATAAACTGACTGATTCTGAGCTGTTAAATCTGCGACTGTTGTTCACACTCATTATTTTCTTGGACCCAGGTGGAGGTGACGCTTTTTACAACAGACCTGTGAGCGTCGTCTTTTATGAGATTTTCTATTACAATAGACGTTAACTGTCTCCCCAGAATTCTGCCTGCAGTTAAATATGTTTTCCATAGTGTCTTTATCCCCCCTGTTGTGGCCATTTTACTTTCTCTGTCCTGTAAGCACCCCGGTGATTTCTAATAGCCCACAGTAAAGATCATAGATGATTCTTTTAAATCGGATTACTTTCAGTTAAATCTAATATTTCACTGCTCTTCTGTCCTCATGCAGTCGCTGTCACACAGTCCCCAATCAACATCCACTTGGAGAAGTGAAAACTTTCCATTATTCCCAGCATTTCTAGGAATTCTGCATTTGATTAAAGGTTTAACCTGAGAGCACATCCTTGGCAGATGTTCTGTGGAACGCCTAAGCAAACATCCCATAAAACACTGGGAATAATAAAGTGTTTCATCATGCTTCCATGGAAACCAGTGATAATACAGTTTCAGACTGGAATGAGCTGCTTTGAAAACACGTGACATCAGCCACATAAAGGTGAAGGGGCCTTGGACTGGAATTTGTGACGGCTGATGCCAAATGTTCTGGTTCAGTCGTGTCGTTATGCGGTCTGTATCAGTGTGGTAGAAGCTTCTCTGAACAGTCAGAGGAGCAGGGCGTTAATAACGCACGACTGTACCACGTGAGCACACGGGGGGAACCCGGACACGTGAAGCTTTAACACGCCGACCAGAGCAAACGTACCATCGTCATTTCTGTCACGCAGGCCGATTCAGATACTTCTTTCCGTGCAGGTTCTGAAAGCAGCAGGTTGTAATTGGTCGAGTGTTTGCGTCCCTCATGAATATGATTTGAAATTCTTTCTTTAATCAATGAAACGATTATCAAGATGAGTCCAAAGTGGTTCTGTGTTATTTTTACACATTGTTGGTTGTAAGACAGAAAATCCTCCCACTGAACTTTGACCAACCGGATATTTGGAGCTTTTTATTTATTACTGACATTTACTGATGTTTGCATCTAACCGAGCAGCTTTTACCCAGACCGGCTAAAGCTGACGAAACAAAGTGCAGGATAGTGTCATGTAAATGCACCACAGATATAAAATGTCCAGGACAGAAATAGCTCTGCTGCACTGATGGACGTTATCGCCTCCTCTGATCGTACCACACGATCAAACATTAAACGCTCATAGATAACCGAGTCCCAAAGAGCGCAGCCGTGCCAGTAACAGCCTCCGTTCCTGGAAGTCTATTCAGGGAGCTTCTCAGAGGTCTGTGGGGGCGGGGGACCCGCAGAGGAAGACTGACATCTATTAGGTTTGATTTCTTAAAATAGTTTCAGGCGATTTTATGGCAGAACAGTTAATCTTGTGTCAGTGTCGTGCAACACTAAAACATTAACTGAAATCTACTACGGTAAGTTTGGCAGAACAGCAAAGCGGCCTTTAAATTAAGTAATTCCCCCCAAATTCCATGAATTTTCCTAACTGGTCATCCAACACAAGCAGTCCAAGACAAATCCGACACACCGTGCGAGAGTCGTTCCCTGGATCACAGAAGGACTCATGAACATAAACAGGAGATTTCATGATTTTTCTTTTCAATTTGACATCATCTCACAACCCTTCGCCTCTAATGTTTATGGAAAACTAAAGATTGTAATGCAAATCTCGTCATATTTGATGCAATATTAACAAAAACACTAAAATCATTGCAGAACTTCTGTGGCAGAGGTAACTTTGTAGAGTGTCCACTTACAGAGACACACTCGCATCCAAATCCATGTCTGGAATTCCCAACCAGAGAGGAATCAGCGGGTTTGACCCCTTGTTGCTGTGAGCCGCCGTGCTGCCTTCTTCCAAACGCTCTTAATTAAAGCGCGGCCTGGTGCGGTGGGGGGATGGGTGGGCAGATTAGCGCCGTTTTAGGAGTAAAGTTGCGCTCGCTCACAGCAGCGCTGACGCTCTATGTGACCCTGCACAGGGTTTTGGTAGAGGCCGTCGCACCCACATGACCAGACCACCTCGCAGAGTCTCTGTAGCAACTGCAGCCCCGGACGCCGGAGGAGGCTGCAGGTTTGGAGCCGGTCGCAGGTTTCCATGACTACAGCCCATCCCAGCTTTACTGCAAATTAATAACCTTCAGGCCAGTTCTGCAAAAAACAACTCAAGACTTGTGTGTGTTAGCACTACTGCTGATATGTGGCGGTAAATGTAAAAAAAAGAAAAGGATTAAAGTGAAGCGTCTACAAATAGCCGACAGCTAAATAAATCTACGGAAAAGAAATATCAGCTGGGCTCCGTCCAAGTTTCCATCCAGCACGGAGCACCGAGACGCTCTCGATCAGCAGCTCTCTGATGCAGCTCTGCTGAAGCCTGTGTCAGTTTTGCTGAAACCATTTTATTAATGAAAGCTCAGCATGTAAACACAATGTGAGGTCAACAATGAGCCTGAACTTTGACATTTTGTACTGTAGCTGAGGAGGTGAAGCAGGCTGCGTGGGAAGATTCCTATCCCTGCAGCGTCCTTCAAGCACACAATAAAGAGCTGTGTGTGTGTGTGTGTCTGTGTGTGTGAACAGGTGACTGCAGCTCTTGGTGCTGCAGTCACAAAACGACCACACGGTGAACTCGGAGCCTTGATCAGGCTGCTCATTAACATCAATGGGTGCAACTATTCAAAGTTTCCCTTTGCAGAATCTTACAAACATGTATGCATTTGTTCACCTCGATGCACCGTGTGAATCCCGCATGTCTAACATACATGAGACATGCAAACTAGTTTAAACCGGCTCGTCGATTGAAGGTTCCCGGGCTCTGCCCTTTGGAGCCTCACTAAAACATAAAGACATTCAAACTGTTTGTTAGATTTTACTTCCTGACACTTCCTGTAACAACGTGCAGCCGTGTGCACAACATAACGCCAAAAAAACAACATCCCATCGTGTCTAAGAAGACGAAGGCATCATTATATGAAGATCATGGACCATTTTTGGCTGCTTCAATAAAAAGGTGACACTTACACTCAGAGCGCTCTGGAAGAACACTGAGATATCAGCTGCGCTGTGATAAAGAAACAAAGGCGAATGTTTAAATAGCAACATTAAAAGTGTCCATCTTGTCCAAAACCCAAAGTTAAATCTGCCGTGTCATTATTGCCCCCCACCCACACACACCCCCACCCACCTGGCAGCATGCGTCCAGCTGCTGTTGTTTTGGGCAGTAAATGAGTTTAAAGTCTTGCTTCTCTGCTGATTTACATGAAAACCACATGTTCTTCATCTTCAGCAGGTTACGCAATCTGCTCTCATCAAACCTTCCACACACACATACACACACACACACACATACACATACACACACACACATACACACACACACACACGCACACACACACACAGATACACACACACACACACACACACACACACACACATGCATGCGTGGTTCAGCTGATTGCCCTTTAAAGGCTTCATTAGCTGTTATTTAAGATGTGGAACAGGGAGCCGTGTTTAAAAGCTCTGTGAGGTGTTTGGACTTCTTCCTGTTTTTGCATCGTGAAACGACTGAAGCAAAAATCACGTCTGGAACTGCCTACAAAGCCCACTTCAGTCCATTTCTTTTTAAAAATGAAAGCGTTTTATGCACATTCGACAAAGGGCTCACAGAATCCCAACAGACGCACACACAGACACGTTTTTGTGTGGTTTTGCACTCGAGTTCTGCTGCTGTGCATGACAAATCAGGACTCTTGTAATGTGCAGACAGTTATTGTTGTTATCCTGAAACAATTTGCTCAGATGGAGCATTTTTAGTTTAATGCAACATAAAACTACACGTGTGGAATGATCACACCATTGCCCCCCAGTGGATCATAACGTAAGACTGCTTGTTGTTTTGCTGCCGTACAGTTTTTGAAGCACTTTGGAACACACTTCATTTGACAGCTTCAGTTTCCAGAAGTCATGGTTGGACATCAGGGCTAGAGAAGGAGGTGGAGGAAGTATGCAGCCTGAAGCAGGAAGGAAGTTGGCTGCATACTTATTTATGACAGGATTTAACTGGAACCCAACATCTTCATATCCAGTAAAATGCTTTAAAACTGAACATAAAATATGATAAAATGAAATTAATATAAAAATATTTGGAGTCATATTCACCTGCACACACTTCCCTGGCTGACTGCTATCACGGCGTCACATCATGTCTTCACAGCAAACCTGCTGGATGGCACCAGCTGATTGGACGAATGTGTAAGACACATGTAATACCTCTAGATGGCGACGTAAGCAAACTGATGCTGTAAGCTCCATTCATGGAGGTGGCCGCAGGGAGGCGCTGTATGATAAAATGAGAGTAATTCACCTGTTACAGTCACGAGCCTACAGTCAGCTGAGACATCCACATGCACTTTAGTTAGAGCGGTAACAGCTGGTTAAAGCTGGTTATTTGTACTGGTGATCACATTGTAAATATTATGATCAATTTATTCTTTTGCACAGCTGAAGTTACATGAGTTATTATGGCACGAGTAACACAACAAGGACAAAAACAGAGTGAAAACGAAGTGAGGGAGCTGTCCTCAGTCCTGCTGTTTCAGCCTTTAAAGGGGAACTCATTTGGACTCGTTTGAGAGCAGCCTTGTGTAATGACAAAAAATTAACTTTAAAACAAGTCTGACAATCAGATAAAAGATGGTTTTTGATACCAACTATTTATTGCAACTTTCAACTTTGAGCAACGAATAGTAAATAAACTGGGACTGAACTTCTCTAGTCATGTGACTTCTCTTAATATCTTATATCTGTGCCCACAACCAGGTTAGAGGTGGTGCCTGAATGCTTGAGATGCCTCCACGAGGTTATTGAACGCCCATCCAGGGTTAGTGTTGGATTAATGTCCATCTGGGAGGTAAAGGTGGTAGAGCAGGTTTTCTACCAGTGGGAAGGTGGGTAG